GAGCTTTATCCCCCTAAAGAGTAAATTCTGGGCTCTAAAGACCCCTCTAAAGAGTAAAACATTTCATGTGGCAGGTTCTCTCGGGACGTATGGCTACCAATAGACAGTTTATGTATCATCACTATGGGATAGATAGCCGATGTCAACGCTATGGAGCAGAGATAGAGTTGATCAATCATGTACTCTTTGAATGGCCTCCAGCGCTAAAAACATGGGCTTTAAGTGCAATCCCATCTCATCCAGGTATTTTTCCGAATATAATAATCTCCCAAAACTTTGCACACCTCTTCTACCGAGCCCCATCACATGGAGAATCTACAAAGTTTTTGGAGGCTTTCCCCTAGATTCTATGGTTTACATGGAAGGCCAGGAATGAAAAGGTTTTTAACAACATAGATATTGTGCTAAAAAATATTTTGGAGATTGCTCTCTAAGAGGCGGAATCATGGAAAATGGCACAAAAGGTCTCACAGATTGGGGAATTTCCAAATACGAGTCAGACGCCAAGCTCACATATAACAAGGATTGAGCCATGCCTGATGGATAATAGACTTCTGCTTCCATGATGTCAAGTGGATGCCTCATGGGTTAAGGATGGTCACATAGTAGGGTACGGAATTAGCAGATGGTAGTCATCTATATGGGCTGACAGCGACTGAACAATCTCTCTCACCTTTACATGCTGAATTTGAAGCTCTCCTATGAGCGCTATGAGAGTTTGATTCCCATACAGATTTCTGGTGTGGTGATTGAGACATATTGTTTACAGTTGGTCAACCTGATTGAAGAAGAGGAAAAGTGGCTGGCCCTAGCAATGAAACCAGAAGAATTGGAATTTTTGCGCCAGAATTTTCAGAATCTTTCAATAGTCTTTATCTCACGTTCTTTTAATGGTCGGGCTGACCACCTCGCTAAAAATGCTCAAGCCCTTAGTTTGATATTTTTCCATGTAAACATAATTCTTCCAGAATGGTTGGCTTCCGAGTCCAGTACTTTTGAACTTATGTTTAATATATGGAGTATTTGCAGTAAAAAAAATTAGAAAAATCAACCAAATTTAATGTTATTAGTTTTGTGATTTTAAAATACATATTCAAATTTTGTGTTATGATTTCATTTTAAAGTACATTTTAGTGGATTTAGAAGAATCTTAACTATTACTTGAGAAGCATGTTTAATGAAAAAACTGATGTGTCATCACCTTAGCAAAAGTTAGTGCAAAACAATGTCATCTCATAAATGTGACATGGCAAATTTTCTAAAATAAATGAAATGTTTTGACTGGTTAAGTTAAAACTATATAAATTTTATTTTTAAATAATAAAATTTTATATCATATATGAATTAATTATCATTATAGAGCAAGAATTCGAAATTAAAATGAAACAAAACAAATAAACATATAGAAAAATAAATTATAAGTATCCTTTTAGCTAACTTTTTATTTATTATAATATTGTATATATCAATAAAAAGTAGAAGTAAAAATAAAAATGAATATTTAGGACTTTGGTTTTATGTAAAAATTTCATGCTATATTTTTTGTTTAAAGCATCTTCAATCCACCTTTATTTTAAATCTTCTAATTAAGGGAAAAAAAGAAGGATTTTTTGCTAAAAAACCCTCAAACTAAATTAATTTTGCAAGAATAATCCTCACCCTAAATAAATGCAAGTCAATCTATTTAACTACAAAGTCACCCGCAATATAACTCCTCCGTATATTATCGACGTTCACATTCTATGGTCTGTTTAATTTTTTAATAGAATTCGAAACGACGTCGTTTCGATTTCAAAAAATAAATTTTGAAATTCACAATATGAGAGATATACTTTACCAACTATTCCAATAGAATAACTTAATAGGTTATGAAATCAAATCACTTATATGACAAGCAGCTTCATACTTCACTTTGGTCGATCTTCACAACCTGATATTCGAACAATTTTCCTTTTTTTGTGATATCTTCTTAATTTTCTTAGCCTCTTAATGTTATCACATTGCCAGAAATCAGATTCAAACCATTTCCACATTGTCAAGGAGTTCACAAATCACCAAGGCACCAATTAAATTTAACTCAAAAAAATACAGGAGATAAATCTAGCTTCTTGTGTTCACTGATTTCGTTTTGTAACCTTGACTTATCTTAATTTAGAGGGAGAATTGTGAATCTGATTATAGGAGAAGAAGAATATATGGGAGAATTGTGAATCTGACTATAGGAGATGAACAAATAGACAACGACGAACAATATCAACGAGATTCCCACCACCGACCACCCATTGATCTACAAAATTAAGAGGTTAATAATCACATACTTGGGTTGGGGCTATGATTTTACCTTTGTCAATCTTTCCACATTAATTGTCGGTTGAAAAAGAAGAAGAAGAATGAGGTCGGGTCTTAGAAAAAGGGAAGAAGATAACAGTAAGAATAGGACAACTAAAAGTAAAAAAAAATAGTTAGTATAAATATTTTGATTTCGTAACATACCAATAAAATCCATTGGCATAGTTGGTAAATTATGTCACCGGTTATTGAAATGGTAATGAGTTCGAGTATTAGGTTTTGAATTTTTAAAACTAAAACAATGTCGTTTGGAATTCTGTTAAAAAATTAACAGAATATAAATTGCCGACATTGATGATATACGAAATGGCTATATTGCGAGTGACGTTATAGTTAAATGGATTGACTTGCATTTATTTGGAGTGGGGGTTATTCTTCCAAAGTTATTTTAGTTTAAGGATCTTTTTGCAGAAAACCCAAAAAAGAAAGGTTGTTATTTTTTCCTCCAATTATAAGGGAAAAAATAACAATTTTTTTCTACTAAATTAGAAATAAGTTTGAGAGAAGTCCACTTGTATTTTAAAGGAAAAAATAAAAAAATACATTAGAGATGATCTTAATATTTAATATATTATTAAATGTTAAGAAAAAAAAGTATGAGTTAAAGAAGACAAAAAGATAAATAAGAATATTTTTTATCGATTTTAATTTTTTATTTGAAATATTTAAAAATATTATCTTGCACATATTAATTCTTTAATACATATATTTTTCTAATATATTAAAATATTATTTCTCCGTTATATTTTATATTAACAAATATATTAAAGTTAGGAACAGGTCAACTCTTAATTTCTAATAACAATCAAATATTAAACATAGTATTTTACACTTTAAATCATACACACATAAGTTTAGAACTGATTGGTTTAAACGATTCGGTTACAGAGAGTTTGTGGAAACGAGCAATTGCAGATTATAAAAAAAAATCTGATGAAGAGATGAACTGAGAGCTATCGAAGAATTTTATAAAATATGATTTCACAAATTTTATATTTTCATTATATTTTTATTGAGAAACCATATATCATCAATCGCTGAAAAATAAGAAACTTTGATTAAATACAAAACGATAGAAATGGTTTTCGTGATTGTTTTTAAACGCCAATAACTGCATCGTCTAAAAACATAATGTTTGCAGAAAATTGCAGAAAAAAACTTACCAACACCTAAATATTACAATTCACTTATTTCTAATTAATACATACATGCATAAATATACATTTTTTATATTTAAAAAAATCAACCAAACATTATAAAAATATATATTACAAAACATATACATTGTTATTTTCTTTTAACACATAAAAGCCATACTTTAATTTTACAAATATATGTGTAGATATAAATATTAATTATGCAAAAGTCAAACTTAAATGCAAACTTGTCGTGCATACGTTTTGTTAACCTCGATTACACTCTATTTTCAATTTTAGTTGCTAGACAAATTATATATTTTTAAAAAAACTTTATATGTCCTAAAAGCGGTGAGGTGGTTGGTACGCACGAATGTGCGGACCAACCATCTATCCGCTCTTAGGATAAATAAATATGGTAGAATTTATTTTGGTTCAATTAGCAATATATCAAGGAAAAAATGTATACTTAAAATATATATATTGGCAAGATTATATTCTGTAAAGAGAAAAAGAAAGTATTATATAGATAACATTTGAAACATATTATAAGAATTTAATTATTATTTAATATAACTTTTGTATTTGAAATTATATATTACTGTAAACGCTAGGAAAAATAAAAAGTTCTCAAAAGACACAAACGATATGAAACGTTTGTGTGATTGTTGTTGAACACTAAAATTGTATGTGTATAAAAATATAATATTTACATAACGTATAAGAAAATTAATCAATACTTATATATTACAACTAATTATGTCTATAAAAAAATTATAATTGCACATGCATGCGGACCAAAAATAAAAATTAAATAAATTATTATATATTTTAATATTTTCCCGTTTATTTAGTTACCATATTTACATTTTTTTCAAAGAAATATTTTAAAATCTTAGTTAATATTTTTTATCTTCATTTTCTATTGAAATATATAATATTTATATTTAATTTATCGTTATATTTATTATAAAATGTTTATTATTTTATTATTTATACATAATTAATCAAATACAAATAAAATATCTTCAAAACTATATTAATCATAATTAAACATATAAAATATTTTATAGCCTGAGTGCATACCGATCACCTAGTTTCCATATTAAAAGTAAAAGATTTAAATCCAAAATTAAACTTAGGATTTTGTAAAATTAACATGCTAGATTTAAAAATTAACAAATATTACAAAGATTATGGTTGTTGTTGTAGATGCTGTGCACATCAATGTTTATGTTAAAAGCTCTAAATCATATCAATCATGTTTTATAAACTTTGTCTTTTTTTTATTTGTTTAGAGCTAAAATATTTTTTTCTTTTTTTTTGTCTGTACAAAATAAATTTTTTAAATCATATAAATTTATGCTTTCCAAATTTTACAATTCTAGAGCCAAAATTTTAAAAATATAACTTACAACCATATTTCTACAGCAAAAACTTAAAGCTACAGCTGTTACCAATCAAACGTATATAGATTCATCACCTACATAAACCAATAACTTTGAAAATTTGCAACTTTTCTTAACTTTTAAAACAAAACCTGAGTTCTTAAAAATATCTACCAAACAATCAAAGCTTAGTAAGTTAGCCTACAAGCTTCACTTCAACTCTCGTATCTTCCCCCATTTTCTCTCCTTCCAAAAACCCTAATTTCTATCTCTCATACCTAAACCTGTAAGTGTTGTCTCTCTGTTTCTCCCGAGGTACAAACAGGAAGTTTCAGGTACTGTTATAGCTGTTTAAGAACTGCTTGCTTATGATCGATAAATTCTGCTTTTGATGTTGGTGCTTTCTTGGTCTTCTTTATATTTGACAATGTACACTACTTGTTCGACGAATTGCCTCTGTGAGCTAATCAATGCCTAACACTCATATATTAGGATAGTAATACGTAAGTTACAAACCGAAAGACAAGAAAGGATCGAAATTGAGGGTTTTAGGTTTTTGTTGAAGCTATAATCGATGGCAAATTCTCAAATTGAAGCTGGCGCTCCCATCAATCTACAAGAGTTGTATCCTTCTTCGCCGTTTTACAAGGAAGCTGTTTCACTTCGAGTTACAGGAACGTAAGGTTTTTGCTTTCTTCTCAGATGCAATTTGGGAACTGAACTCTCGCAATGTAGATATCGGATCTTCTTGTTGATAAAGATGATATTTTTTTTTTGTAGGCTGAAAGGATATTCAATTGAAACAGCGATAGGTGTTATTGAAGATGGAGACAAAAGTCTCAGAATCGACACTCAACACTTGAGAGATGTTAGTTTTCGGGTTGGCTCAATTTACCAGTTTATTGGAGAGCTCCACATTGATCCCAATAATGAGGTTAGTTGCTTCAATGTTTTCATGAGGATATCAACGTTAATGTTATCTGCAAGAGTATTGGATTCAGATAAAACCAATTCTCTTTTCTTGTTTTTGTTTACGGATATAAGATGGACAAGAACAAATCTTGGGAGCTTAACTTTATGTGGTGTATTTGCGAATTTCCAGTTTTACCAAATGGTAAATACAGAAGGTAGGAACTTTGGTTTTGTAGATTGGTTGGATGCAAACTGAGAGATCCTCACAAAGTTTAACTATTTCAGTATCCCAGTTAGACAATTTCACTCGGAATCGAGATTACTAGTCTGTTCTTGAAAATGAGACATATTCACAGTGAAAATCATGGAATGTTGTAAAAAGTTGTTAACTTTCTATTAGATGTAGACACTAATAACCATCTGAGGCTGAAATTTCTGTAATCTCTACATGTAATTGTCTGTTTTGTTAGTTAACCAATCTTAAAATTGATCCATATACTATTTGTTTTAGGCGATCTTGCAGCCTCGAACAGGAAGAAATGTGGATGGAATCGACATGAATCTTTACCGTAAAACAATTGAACTCCTAAGGAAGTTTCTTGAAGTAGAAGACAACAGAAACATGGTTGAATGAGGATAACTATCCGATGCCATCCAAGTAACATAACCCACCTACATTTTGATGTTTTGTCACTTGTAGATGAGTCTTCGGGTTGTTTGATATGTTTTGGTCTGCTTTTTTATATGAGCAATGTTCTGAAAAGAATGTGTTTGAATTTAGCCTGCGAGGGAGTCCGGTTTGGTTAGTCAGTTGAACCGGTATGGTTTTGATAGTGAATTAGCCACAGTAATTCCGTTAAAAAGAACTGCGAACACATTTCGTACTTTGAAAAGAGAGAAGTCTTTTTACGGTGCTATTTAATCACTGATTCTAATTATGTATTAACTTTGGGAGATTTGGTTTCATAATATAAAAATATATATAATTTAAAACCGGTTTATATTTTCCAAATTTTGAAAACTAACATTATATAAAGGCTTTAACTGGTGACTATAAAATTAACAATAGGAATGAGTACGAAAAAAAATGAAAATAATTTAAAACCGATTTATATTTTCCAAATTTTGAAAACTAACATTATATAAAGGCTTTAACTGGTGACTATTAAATTAACAATAAGAATGAGTAAGAAAAAAATGAAATGAACAAAATAATAAAAATTATTTTTCCTTTTTTATTTTTGATAGAAAATATATTAACATAAAAATTCTCTAAAACATAAGGAATGGAAAGAGAATTATATGTACAATATATTTTTTTAAATGGTGTAATTTTTAAAGAATAATAAAAAATTTCTAAATTCATTCTCATTCTTCTGATCACCGGTTAGAACCAAAGTTAACCATTCGACAATAATAATTTCATAATTTGAGGATATATAGCAATATATATAATACCTCAAGAATGGCATTGTATAGCAATCTATAAGAGTGTAATACCTCAAGTTGGATGTATTGTAGAAGTGTATTAGGTATATAACTCGCGCTACGAGCGAGTCTGTATTAATATTTTGGTTTATTTTTTTAGCTACTATCTTTAAAATTATTAAAAATTATATATATTTATAGAAATATTCATTTATATAAGAGAATTTAATTTATAATGTGTAATTTATCCTATTTTTATTTATAAATTTTAAAAAACTATTAGGTAAAATAATAACAATGACACCTATCGAATTATCCAACTTTGACGTACATATACATTTGATTTAGAGAAATACAATCTTGCTAAGATTTTAGTATTATTTTCTATTTTCCATAGAATTTCTATAGTTCTTTTTTTCTTGAAGGTTTACGTGTTCAAATATTTAGCTTTTATTGAAAGTCTTATTGATGTTGTGTACCACTGTATATATAATCCATGATTCATGTTGATTCGTATTTAATTTTGTTAGGAAGCTGTAATGATCATGCAAAACCATTTTTTCCTTCTCCATCATGTCTTTCAAGAGTTTTATGTTATATTTTATTCAGTTTTTATTGTTTTAATTGTTAAATCGAGTTGTTGTAGATTTTTTTTAAATTGATAATGGTTACTTTTTTATACATGTTTTGTTAATTGTTAATTTTTTATTTAACTTTTAAATTTTTAAACCATATTAACATTTTTTGATTTAATAAATATGTTGATTTGGATCAATCATACTGAATTTACTTTTTTTGTTGGACATAATTTGTTAAATTAACTATTAATTTTTTAATTATACTTAATAATTTTTGGTTTGATTTAAAAACTGATGTGGACCAATTAAATCAAGTTTTTCTATCATAATCATATTTAACATTTTTTATTTAATGAATATGCTGATGTGGACCAATAAGATCGAGTTTTTTAATCACATGTGGACGCACTCAATGCACTATGCCATCAACTTTTATATATTATATGATTCATCAACAAACATTGTAATTGTTAGCCACAAAAGAAGATTTTACACACTCATAACTGTCATGATTGCATATAAAATTCTATTTTCACATTGAGTATTGTTAGAGGGGAAATGAGCACATTTTCTAAAAGACATTCCCTCGCAATAACCTAAAACCATCAAGACCAGGAAGACCGCACCGACCTAGCTCGGATTAAAGGAAAACTCTTAAAGGATAATTATTGAAGACCGGAAACATCGGATTAGCCCAAAGGATAAAAGAGAATTTCCATATTCTTCGGAGAATAAGGGATATTTCCATATCGTAGATATGGAAATATTCACTAAAGACAAAAAGAAAAGGAACTCGACGTAACCGACCTCCTATTCCTATAAATACAAAGATTCTGGAGCCTGAAAAGACAACTCATATAATCTAGAGAGCAGCAGAGCTAAAACCAGAGACTCCAACGCTTTCTAGTTTACTTCGCAAACCTTCTTTTCACTTCGGCATAACCTCTCGGTTATACCTTTCTTTGTAATTGCTACGCTTTCTTGCTATTAATAAAAAGACTTTATTCTCTGAAACCCACAACTTTTAATCAAACCCTAGTGGTGATTTTCTGGTTCAAAAATTGGCGCCGTCTGTGGGAAATAGGAGAATAACTTCTTAAAAAAGCCAAGTAAGAAAGCCAAAGCGATGAGCCTCCCCGTCAACAACAGCGATCTTATTCACACCAACATCCCTACTACCGCGATCCCACCACCCACGGAAAAACACGTTCAAACAACCATCGACGGTACCCACATGATTTTAGGAGGAATATTTCACGATCCCAGCTCGCTTCAAGAAATAAGACAACACGAAGAAAAAGCGGCAGCGACAAAGCGAGATCCACCCATCCCAAGATACGAGATGCCAATAGAATTCACAACGGAGGATCAACGTAGCTCGCACGAACCACACTTCGACCCGCTAGTGATAACTTTACAGATCCATGACAACACGATCGCCAAAGTCCTGATCGACGGTGGGAGCACAGTCAACGTCATATTTGAAGATACACTGTCAAGAATGCATATTGATAAAAACAAGATAATAGCGATCAGAAAACCATTGACCGGATTCGCAGGCGACACCTCTTACAGCATTGGTTCGATATACCTAATCACTTACGTCGGCGGCATGACTAGAAAGGTAGAATTCGCAGTCGTCAACCGCCCGACCATCTACAATGCCATCCTTGGAACACCGTGGATTCACTCCATGAAAGCCATCGTCTCGACGTACCATCAATGCATCAAGTTTCCAACTCCAGCCGGTGCATTCACACTTCAGGGCGACCAGTCATCAGCACGAATGTGCCTTCTCAACGAAAGAAAATTCAGATCGGCGACCACCTGCATGGTGAATGAAGATTTAGACCCACGTCTCCCCTTCCACAAACGACCAAAGCCCGAGCAAGTTATACAGGTAAGCATCAACGAGAAGCACCCGGAGAGACTTGCAAGCATTGGAGGTGACCTTTCAGAAGATATAAAAACGGAACTCATAAAACTTCTACGCGACCATGTGCATCTGTTCGCCTGGTCCATAGAGGATATGAAGGGAATTGACACCAGGATCACTTCGCACAAACTAAACGTAGACCCGATGTTTAAACCTATCAAACAAAAACGCGGAAAGCTCGGCCCCGAGAAAGCGCAAGCCGTGACTGACGAAGTGGAAAAACTGCTCGGCGCCGGATCAATTACCGAGGTTCAATACCTAGACTGGTTAGCCAATCCTGTCGTGGTCAAAAAGAAGAACGGCAAATAGAGGGTCTGCGTCGACTTCACCGACCTTAATAAAGCGTGTCCAAAGGACTGCTTCCCGCTTCCACATATCGACCGACTGGTCGAATCAACAGCCGAAAACCAGCTCCTATCTTTCATGGACGTCTTCTCAGGATATAACCAGATCTTCATGCACCCCGGCGATAGAGAAAAACAGCTTTCATCACGGATCGCGGAACACACTGTTATAAGGTCATGCATTTCGGGCTAAAGAACGCAGGGGCAACCTACCAACGACTGGTAAACAAAATGTTCGCAAGTCAACTCGGCCGAACTATGGAAGTTTACATTGACGATATGTTAGTCAAGTCCACGATCGCAAAAGATCACGTCGGCCACCTTAGGGATTGCTTTAAAACCCTTGAGAAATACGGAATGAAGCTAAATCCAGCCAAATGCACATTCGGCGTAACCTCAGGAGAATTCCTAGGATACGTTGTCACTCAAAGAGGGATAGAAGCAAACCCAAAGCAAATATCGGGAATTCTGGACCTCCCATCGCCAAAAATATACGCGAAGTACAAATGTTAACCTGCAGAATCGCCGCTCTAAACAGATTTATCTCGCGATCAACAGAAAAATGTCGAACTTTTTATCAATTACTTCGAAGCAACAAACGCTTCGATTGGGACGAAAAATGCGAAGAAGCATTCACACAGCTGAAGCAATATCTAACCACCCCTCCAATATTAGCAAAACCAGAAAACGGCGAAACTTTATACCTCTACATCGCAGTCTCAACAGCGGCAGTAAGTGGCGTCCTTGTCAAGGAAGACCGCGGCGAACAGAAACCGATTTTTTACATCAGCAAGACTTTGGATGGAGCCGAAACATGCTATCCAGCTTTAGAAAAACTCGCTTATGCAGTCATCATCTCGGTGCGGAAACTACGACCCTACTTCCGATCTCACTCCATCGTCGTCTACACCAGCCAACCACTTCGAAGCATCCTGCACAGTCCGAGCCAATCCGGCCGGATGGCTAAATGGGCGGTAGAACTTTCGGAGTATGATATCGAGTACCGCGCTCGAACCAGCGCCAAATCTCAAGTTTTGGCAGATTTCATGATTGAGATACCACCGGATCTACTAGATGGACAGTCACCTACAGAAAACCGATGGAATCTTTATGTAGATGGAGCATCTTCGAAACAAGGGTCAGGAATCGGTATCTGTTTGAAATCACCAACCGGAGAAATTCTTGAGCAATCCTTCAAACTCAGTTTTCCCGCTTCAAACAATGAAGCTGAGTACGAAGCCCTACTGGCTGGACTTCGGCTCGCCCAAGAAGTAAAAGCAAAACATGTTCATGCCTTATGCAACTCCCAGCTCGTTGCCAGCTAATTTAGGGGAGATTATGATGCAAAAAACGAACGGATGGACGCATATCTTAAACAAGTCTAGGAAATAGCAAAACAGTTCGATTCCTTCGAACTAACCAAAATTCCGCGAGCAGAAAACACTGCCGCCGACGCACTGGCAGCATTGGCATCCACAACGGATCCTGCCCTAAGACGAACATTCCCAGTAGAAATCATCGAACAACCCAGTATTCAACTATCGAAGGGATCCTGCAACTCAGTATTACATCAGGATGACGAGGCGAACGATCGAATGGAGGAAGATGCCGAACAGCAGAAGAAGCCTTGGCAAGACAAAATCAAGGCCTACCTGTTAGAAGGGATCGTTCTGGAAGACAGGTGGGCAGCTAGA